AGATAAGTTCTTTTAGTTTGTTTTTGTTTAGGGTGGTAAGTCAAATTGTCATTAGTTTCTTTAAGTTGGATATGAAACTTATTCTTTTTTTAAAGATCAGTTCTTTTTCTTTTTTTTTTTGTTAGGGGTCGTAAGTCAAAACTTTTTTTGATTTTTTTTGTCAGGGCAAATCTTGTTTAAGTTGAAGATTGAAATAATTCTTTATTTAAAGATAATTTCTCTTAGTTCGTTTTTGTTAGGGGTTGTAAGTCAAATTGTCATACGTTGGATATGGAACTTTTTTTTTTAAAGATCAGTTCTTTTTTTTTGTTAGGGGTCGTAAATCAAAACTTTTTTAGATTTTTTTTGTTAGGGCAAATCTTGTTTAAGTTGGATATGGACCTAATTCTTTATTTAAAGATAAGTTCTTTTTGTTCGTTTATGTTAGGGGTCGTAAGTCAAATTTTTATTAGATTCTTTAAGTTGGAGATGGAACTTATTCTTTTTTAAAGATCAGTTCTTTTTCTTTTTGTTTTGGTGTTAGGGGTAGTAAGTCAAAACTTCTTTAGATTCTTTTTGTCAGTTCAAATCTTGTTCCTTTGTGATATGTTACCGAAACAAAACACAAAGTACTTAAAGTACTTTTCGCCAACAATGTTGGCATCTTCAGAAGCGAAGTGTAACTAAATCTAAATGCTAAATCTACCAAATTTATACTAATTATTATAGTTTACTAAACCCTGGACCGTCATCGCTTCAGTGAACACGTAAAGAGAAACTAACAAACTCTAGCTGGGTACCGGTCTGTTATCGATAATTAAACATTTATTTCTATTCTTATAGATGTATAAACTTTTATAACTATCTAGTAGGCATAAGTTTAAGGTTGCGAAATCCTATTGTTTGACCATCATTAAGTATGTGTTGGGCAACACTCGGTTTCTCTGTCCTATCAAATCTAGCACTTGGCCCATGCTAGATTTGGTAGTACAAAGAAACCGAATGTTGCTCAACATCCGCTTGTTTTCTCTGTGCTACAAAATCTAGCACTTGGCCCATGCTAGATTTGGTAGTACGGAGAAACCGAATGTTGCTCAACATCCGCTCGTTTTCTCTGTGCTACAAAATCTAGCACTTGGCCAATGCTAGATTTGGTAGGACAGAGAAATCGAGTATTGCCCAGCATATTCTTGATGATGGTCATAAAATAGAATTTGACAACCTTACACTTATTAAGGAAGTTAAGAACCAAGTCTGCTAGATAGTTATGAAGGTTTATACGTCTATAAGAATAGGAATAAATCTTTGAATAGCGATAACGGACCGGTACCCTAGTCTAGTTTGTTTAAATTAGTTTGTTAGTTTCTCTTTACATGTTCACTGAAGCGATTACGGTCCAGTGTCCGTTTACGGTTCAGTCAACCTTAGCTTATAATTAGTATAAATATGGTAGATTTAGCATTTAGATTTATTTACACTTCGCTTCTGAAGATGCCAACATCGTTGGCGGAAAGTACTTTAATCAATTTGTGTTTTGTTTTGGGGAATATTTCTAATATTTGTTTAGGTCAAATCTTGTTTAAAGTTGGAGATGGAACTAATTCTTTATTTAAAGATTAGTTCTTTTACTTCGTTTATAATAGGGGTATTCTTTTTTAAAGATCAGTTCTTTTTTTTTGGGGGGGTCGTAAGTCAAAACTTGTTTAGATTCTTTTTGTTAGGGCAAATCTTGTTTAAGTTGGAGATGGAACTAATTCTTTATTTAAAGATAAGTTCTTTTAGTTCGTTTTTGTTAGGGGTCCCAAGTCAAATTGTCATTAGGTTTTTTAAGTTAGATTTGGAACTTATTCTTTTTTAAAGATCAGTTCTTTTTTTGTTAGGGGTCGTAAGTCAAAACTTGTTTAGATTCTTTTTGTCAGGGCAAATCTTGTTTAAGTTGGAGATGGAACTAATTCTTTATTTAAAGATAAGTTCTTTTAGTTTGTTTTTGTTAGGGTCGTAAGTCAAATTGTCATTAATTTTTTTTAAGTTAAATATGGAATATATTCTTTTTTAAAGATCAGTTCTTTTTTTTCTTAGGGGTCGTAAATCAAAAATTTTTTAGATTCTTTTTGTCAGCGCAAATCTTGTTTAAGTTGGAGATGGAACTAATTCTTTATTTAAAGATAAGTTCTTTTGGTTTGTTTTTGTTAGGGGTCGTAAATAAAATTGTCATTAGTCTTTTTAAGTTGGATATGGAACTTATTCTTTTTTAAAGATCAGTTCTTTTTTTTTCTTAGGGGTCGTAAATCAAATTTTTTTTAGATTATTTTTGTCAGCGCAAATCTTGTTTAAGTTGGAGATGGAACTAATTCTTTATTTAAAGATAAGTTCTTTTGGTTTGTTTTTGTTAGGGGTCGTAAATCAAATTGTCATTAGTTTTTTTTTTTAGGTAAATATGGAACATATTCTTTTTTAAAGATCAGTTCTTTTTTTTCTTAGGGGTCGTAAATCAAAATTTTTTTAGATTCTTTTTGTCAGCGCAAATCTTGTTTAAGTTGGAGATGGAACTAATTCTTTATTTAAAGATAAGTTCTTTTGGTTTGTTTTTGTTAGGGGTCGTAAATCAAATTGTCATTAGTATTTTTAAGTTGGATATGGAACTTATTCTTTTTTAAAGATCAGTTCTTTTTTTTTCTTAGGGGTCGTAAATCAAAATTTTTTTAGATTCTTTTTGTCAGCGCAAATCTTGTTTAAGTTGGAGATGGAACTAATTCTTTATTTAAAGATAAGTTCTTTTGGTTTGTTTTTGTTAGGGGTCGTAAATAAAATTGTCATTAGTCTTTTTAAGTTGGATATGGAACTTATTCTTTTTTAAAGATCAGTTCTTTTTTTTTCTTAGGGGTCGTAAATCAAAATTTTTTTAGATTCTTTTTGTCAGCGCAAATCCTGTTTAAGTTGGAGATGGAACTTATTCTTTATTTAAAGTTAAATTCTTTTAGTTCGTTTTTGTTAGGGGTCGTAAGTCAAATTGTCGTTAGTTTTTTTAGATTAGTTGTTATACTTTGTTTTTGTAGGGATTGTAGATCAAAATTTTGTTTAGATTCTTTTTGTTAGGGCAAATATGGAACTAATTCTTTATTTAAAGATCAGTTCTTTTAGTTCGTTTTTCTTAGGGGTCGTAAGTAATATTATTATTAGATTCTTTAAGTTGGATATGGAACTTATTCTTTTTTTAAAGATTTGTTCTTTTAGTTCGTTTTTGTTAGGGGTTGTAAGCCAAATTGTTATTAGATTCTTTAAGTTGGATATGGAACATATTCTTTTTTTAAAGATCAGTTCTTTTACTTCGTTTTTGTAGGAATCATAGGTCAAAATTTTGTTTAAATTCTTTTCGTCAGGTCAAATTTCAAGTTGGAGATGAAACTAATTCTTTATTTGTTCGCTTTTGGGTAGGACACATATTATTTAAATTCTTTTCGTCGTTGTAGTCTGTTTTAGATAGTGATTATCCTATGGAACCAGGCGCCCAGGAGTTTCCTATAAAACCCTCCTTTTTATTCCTTCCATTTAGACCCATTTTAGTTCAATTTCACAATCTTCAGGTTGTTTAATTAAATTAAAATGGTAGATGGATCTTGAAAGTACTTTTTGGATTTTGTCTCGGAACATCGGTAATCCGTGCTAACCCGTTTTTAACGTGGAGCATGTTGTTGCGCACCGGCGCTAATCTATTTGTAACTTAATTATCTGTCGATTTCCTTTTATACCCTTCCTATTATCCTAATTCCTTCATTTGGACCTGAGATGGACATCTTGGACTTCTTGGAACTTCAGGGTGCGAGTGAATCTTATATGCGAGTATGTATACAACCAGTAAATTTGTTTTTTGCGTGTTTTTGTTTATTTAAATACTTTATCTGTTTTAGGAAATTTTAGGTATATAATATGATAAGGATGGTGGAGGGTAACTCCGCCAGGTATTTTTAACCTGCCGGTCCCAAGCCCGGATAAAGGAGGAGGGCCCTCACTCTTTTCTTTTTTTTTAGATTGTTTTCGTCGGGTCAAATCTTGTTTAGGCTGTAGATGGCACTTGAGTGGTTTTTGTCAGGTTGGAACTTTTTCTTTTTTAAAGATCAGTTCTTTTATTTTCTTTTAGTATAGACTTCCTATTTAGCCCCTTGTTTAGGTAGGAAATTGAACTTAATACTATAAAGTACATAAGTCAAATCTCTTTTAGGCAGGGTTCCCAGACAGCAATATGACATCTTAATTAAGTCTGCATAAGCTCTATTTTATGATTTGGACTTTAAATACAACATTAGAAAGAAGTTTTTAAGAAGTTCTTAAGACTTTGAATGCGCCACCTATTGAACTAATCAAGACTTCTCAAAAAAGAACTCTTAAGGAACTTTTGTTAATATAAAAAACAAAGAAGTTACAATCAAAAATGCTACTTTTTGTGATAAAAATTCTCCGCTAGTTGTCTTACTACGACAATATTATTTTTGGTTCAAGCAACTAAAAAATACAACTTTCTCATCTTAATCATTAAAAATTTGTTTATTTGCCCTGAAAAAATCTAAATATAATATTAAACTTACAATAAAGTGACAGAACCATATTTTTTTTATTAACTTTAATACCCTGTATCTTGAAAACAAAGCTTTAGAGCTTTCAAGTTCTTATAACTACATTTTTCTTCCTATTTTTGTAAGTTCGATTACAAAATTTTCACGAATAAAATCTGGTAATACAGGTACAATTTATTATTATATTATTACAATCTATTATTATATTATGTTCTGTGATTGTCGTGCCGCCAATTTTAAGTTAAGCGGCACGGCAGTGATGAAGTTTTTTATCTATTACGTCACTAGCGTGCCCGTAAAAAATAAATTGCAGGCACTCTAACGTGCACCTAGTCACTTCGATATTTTAAACCCTAAAATCTACTTTAGAGTTTTCTCAGTAACCTTAATTTTTTTTAATTATTGTCTCGTTTTTTATATTTTAACTGAAGAAATTAGAACATGACTTACCGTTGCTATCCCCCGTGTTATCCTCCCTGCCGAGATTGCTGGAGAATTTTTTTCCACATGTTGCATAGCCGGGGGCCTTCCCACCTGGTTGGGTTTCCGACCGCGCCCTCTGGAGGACGTTTGTCGCCCTAAATTTTGGGCGACCTGTACCTTCCCCAGTTTTGCTGGGGTTGTGGTGATAGAGGCGCTGGTGCTTGCCACGGGTGACATTATACCCATCAGACCCATTCTGGGGTCCATCACCAGTTGGTAACTGGTCGCGCCAGCGGCGTTGTTAAGAACTATTGGCGCAGTGTTCTTTTTAATTCCTAAAAGTTTGGTTTGGAGTTGTTGAAAATAACAAAATCAAATACTTATTCTAATTAGTTAAATAAGGTTATTATATTTTTACACATTAATAGAACAATAAAGAAAAAATGCTGATTTAATAAATCAATAAATTCATAAATTAATTAGGGCAATAGAATAACACTGAAAAGCATATAAGCTTTTTAGTGTATCATTATTTGTTTTTACTGATATAATAATCTTTCCTTTGGAGACCTCTTACCATGTATGTGGGTTTTTATAATTCATTAATTCAATAGACAGTATACAGCGTAACTTGTGTTTTATTTCATTTAAATGCCCAAATACCTTTTCTGATATTTCATCAGGAGTAATTAATGCCATCACTTTAAAAACACGCCGTATAATTTATTTAAAAAAAAAATATATATTCACATTAAAAAATATTTACCTTTGATTGGCTCCGAAACACTCACAGCTGTGGTATATTCTCCTTTATAAATAATATCAGCATTTAAATTTTTAATCAAGTTTTCGAGGTGTTTAGCCATTTCTTGCTCTTCAAAGTTCATGTTTGTATTTCTGTGCAATTGTTCAGGTGATAATTCTTCCGGCCAACACTCCAAATCCAGTGTGTTTTCAACGTTATGATTTGTAATACTTTTAAAAACCAAGACTTCTCGATCTAAAATTGTTTTCTTATTTCAACATTTTTTGTGTTTACAGTGACACAGTATTTTTTTACCATATTTTTTGTTGGCAAAATTTAAACTAAAATTAAGTTTAAGACTTTGTTCTTTAAACTTGTAAAAAAAATTAAAAAAAAAAACGAATAATAACCTGAAATTTGTCTAAATCTTATATTTACCTCCATCAGAAGACTTCCTGTGAGAAATTTTGTATTTTTTTTTAGGCGGTGGAGGGGCCGGTAAATCTACAGGGACCACCTAAAAAGTAAACAAACATAACCTATAACTCATACTCACCGAAACATTAATATTTTGTTAAACAACAAAATATAAGCTTTAAAAGTTACATAAAAACCGATAAGCGGTAAAAATATGTTAATAACATACTTTCTCATCATCATCGTCCGGTATTTCCAATGTTTCAGCTTCATCGTCTAATATGAGGTGCATTTGCTTTAGGGCCTCTTTGCTGGCGGCCCTACGTGAATACGACCGCCCCTTTGTTATCTCCTTTTTGGGCATTTCTTCTACAAGTTCAATAATAAGTTAATTAGCCACCACCTCTTTAACAACACAAACTGATGATGCAAATATGGCGGCAAAAACATAACCTCAATTTTGTCCAATACGATATAATTCAGAAAATACGATATAATACAGAAAATATGTCATTATAAATTTATTACATTTTATATATTTATTTTTATATAAAACTTTAAAAAAATTGATACAGCCGCTAGTGTGTATCCACCTAAAACTTTTCTATTTTACGTTAAGGTGGCTTTTCACTTTGTGTGACCACTTTGTTTTTATCTCTGTTTTTATTTGGGCTTATAAAACCATTACACACCTTATTTCTTAAATAACTCAACTAAACGCACTATTGGACGAAATGACTACGAGTTTGTTTAAAATTTACCAAATCCTTTCAAAACTTCGATAAACAAATATACGGCCACTCACCGGTTTTACGTAATCGTGAAAATAATCCTACTCTCCCCAATTTGAAGCACAAAAGTTATAAAAAAATTAACACCGGTTCAGACTGGGCTGTTTTTAAATTAAAACAATAAAAACATTAAGCATACAAGTTTCTGCAAAATTTACGTCGGCCATTAATGCTTACCAAGTTCAGAGAGTTGAATCTAGATGGCGCGAAGTATTTTATGTCAAATGTTTTTGGTTTGATTCATTTCTCTATTTAATTTAATTTTAATTGAAGAATCTTTCATGAAGATAAATCATGAATAGTATAATGTATTTTTTAAACCAAATATTATTTATTATATTAATATGTATATTAATAACGACTTACCAGGTTCCTTTTTAGGTTTAATTAACAATTTTTCATTGGATTTTTTCCCTTCATTTAGTTTGTTTAAATTTAAGGAAGGTACAACATTTGGTTTTAATTTAACCTTGGTGGAAGAATTAAGAAAGTCATTCTCTTTGAAATGTAAGGAACAGAGCTAAAATGTATTAAATCATTTTTAACATATTACTAATTGATATTTCTAGCAAGGTACCTTTGTGTTTAAAGATATTTCTTTTTCATCAATGTTTACCGCTTTCAACCATAATTTTTTTAAATTCTTTCTACTTGGAAAAGAAAATAATTCTCCTGTTTTACTTCTACGGCGATGATTTGGGCAGAAAGTTATACAGCATTTCATTTTTATATTTCTTAGGCACACCACATGTATTTTATAATCACAAATTTTAAAATGGTCACTATTAAAGGCAATTTTGCTTAGAAACGTGTAATAAACATAACATATTTTGTAGGTAGTGGGTTATCGGCATGATATCGTGCTTAAAAACCAAGAAACAATCACAAAAAACCTTTAAATGAACTTAAAAACATCAAACTTAACCCAACATTTTCATGTACTTAGGCGGTGTTGCCAGGGTTGCCAGTAAGAAGGAGTTGTTTTCCCCAAAGCACGGATTTTTGTCTATAATACAGGGTGAGTTTTAAGTTGACGCGTTCCTTTTAACAGTGTGTAGAAATCAGCTAGACAAATAAATATTTTAAGTAACTTTTTTATCAAAACTCGAAAATAAAAAAGTTATAAATAACTTAAAATTTAATTAAACTTTGATGGGCTATTATAGCCCATCAAAGTTTAATTAAATTTTAAGCCGGTCCTGGCTATTGTTAACGAAAAACATAACCATAAAAATATCAAAATAAACAATGCAAAATATCATATTTGACAACAAACATAACCATTTAAATCAAATTGACATTTTGCAATAAAAAATGTCATTATTTACTTAAGTGCAGCATTTGCATTTTGACGACACTCCATAAATTAGTAACATTTCCACTAATTCATTATTGCTATAATTATGAACCATTTTTAACAATAATTGAGGCACAAAAAAACTTAGGCAAATAATGACATTTTTCATTGCTAAATGTCATTTTGATTTAAATGTTTATGTTTGTTGTCATAGATGACATTTTGCATTGTTTATTTTGTTATTTTTATTTTTATGGTTGTTTTTTGTTAACAATAGCCAGGACCGGCTCAAAATTTAATTAAACTTGGAAGGCCTATAACTCTCTTATTTCTGAGTTTTGATAAAAAAGTTACTTAAAATATTTATTTGTTTATCTGATTTCTACACGCTGTTAAAAGGAACGCGTCAACTTAAAATTCACCCTGTATAATAGTTGTTTCTAATTCTAAATTAAAACAATGCGTATTTTAAAGAAGCTCGACAATAATGGTGGAATTATGCAGCACAAATTAACATTAAGATTAATTTAACATTAACGGGTGGGTAGGTATTTATGCTTATAAGCATAAATACCTACCCACCCATTAATGTTAAATTAATCATTATAATGTTAATGTGTTGCATAAATGCTTCCATTGCATTACATTCATCTTAACTTTTTAATGTTAATCTTAATGTTAATTTGTGCTGCATAATTCTACCATAAGTTGATATACATTTTAAAAGTGTGGCCTAAAATCCATTTTACGTTGAAAAAAGTGGTTTTTAATTTTACGTTGACAAAAGATATTTACGTCTTTAAATATTAACTAACATTGTCCCTAAATTTCTGTCTGGGTTTCCGAAAACTTGACCCGTATAGAGAACCGTGAATTATTAACAAAAAGGCGGGTGTTGTGGCTCTAGGTCACTTTTAATTGGCGGTTGAGCAAACAAAAGCGCGAGCCGTCGATACGAATTAACGGTTCAATTAGTTTTCTTACGCTGGTAGTTGTATGTGGTCATTGACGAGATAGCAAAATGTACAACCAGACGCCACCAGCGAATCCAAACACTTTGAGTATTTTAGGTGCGGATTATAATTTTAATAAGCCGAGAAGAAGCGTTTACTTGGAGAGTTCGCAGTCGTTTTATCAGCGACATGATATTCGCAAACCGTCCAGAATTGATCCCAAACAGATCTCAGACTTTAGGCAGTCGGACATTAAGAGTCTGGTTATAGATGGGTTCAGGCCGATGATTTACCTTTTGAGGGCGGTGGGGATTTTCCCCATTGCTGCCGAGGGTCCACAATTCCTCGTAACCCCCCAACTCCTCATTTACTCAGTGGCCGTATTTGGTTTCGTAGTGGGATTCATAGGGTACATAAAATGGGACAAGGTGGAGATAATACGGTCCGCTGAAGGCAGATTTGAGGAGGCTGTGATTGACTATCTTTTCACTATTTACTTGGTACCGATTTTATTAAACCCCATAGTTTGGTACGAGGCTAGGAAACAAGCTAGAGTTGTCACCGCCTTGGTTGATTTCGAACATATTTACAATAGGACTGCAAATAAAAAATTGACGATCTACGTGGGGAATAAGCCGTTGATGCTCACCATTCTTTTGCCAGTTTTATCATGTGTTGTTATGGTTATTACTCATGCTACCATGGTGCATTTTAGATTGATACAGGTGAGTTGTTAAAGATATCTGTTCCCCAGTAAATGATCAAGTTGTGCTCAATAATATGCCCTTTTTAATATTTTTAGGTTATACCATACTGTTACGTAAATACAGTAACATTTTTGATAGGAGGAGCTTGGTTTATGTTCTGCGATATCATAGGAAAAATAGCTACAAAAATATCAGAGGATTTCCAGAAAGCATTGAAAAACGTGGGCCCTTCTACTAACGTAGCAGATTACAGAGCCCTCTGGATGATGCTTTCGAAAATTATTAAAGATTTCGGCAATTCCTACGCTTTTTGTTTGATATTTTTGAGTTTATATTTATTCTTGATTATAACTTTAACTATTTACGGGCTGCTGTCGCAAATACAGGAAGGGCTGGGAATTAAGGATATCGGTTTGACAATCACTGCCATTTTTGCTATAGGGTTGTTGTACTTTGTTTGTGATGAGGCTCACTATGCATCAAATTGTGTAAGAAAATATTCATCTTCTATTCAAGTTTTTAAATTTGTTGATTTAAGGTAAAAGCTCATTTCCAAAAAAAAATTTTGCAAGTGGAACTGTCTTGGATGAATGAAGATGCACAAGATGAGGTTTAGTTTTATTAAATTTTATACACCAAATATAAAACTCTTTTTCTAGATAAACATGTTTTTAAGGGCGACTGAAATGAACCCTACTGACATAAGCGTAGGGGGTTTCTTTGATGTGAACAGGACCTTATTTAAATCTGTAATTATTAAATTAGGATTTTCAAAAAAATAATTATACTTATACTTAATATTTTTTTAGTTGTTAGCGACAATGGTTACTTACTTGGTGGTACTTTTGCAATTCCAGATCAGTATACCTGAGGACACCAGTAACTCCAATATTACCATTGTTGCAGCTCAAACTCCAAGTTAAATTTTTAATAAATACTAATCATATTTATCGATTTTTTACTATTCGCTGTTAAAGTTTGAAGGTTAAAATATTATTTTGTATCAAATAATTGTTGATTGTTCCATCGTTTCGGGTGTTAATTTGTTTAACCATTTTTATGTATTTTGAAATAACAATTTAGCAATTAAAGTGCCTTATTCTCTACGTTTTTAGTTGTTTTATCTAAATTGTAAAATTAGTAAAGTTTAGCATATAGGATAAGGATTTTATAAGTCAAAAAGTGTGCGTTTCGGGTGTTTCACGATTCTGCCTCTATGTCTTGACCATTGTTACATTTATTTGAAATTCAGCGAATTTTCTTAGGGAAATATTCCTAAAAATTACAGGCCTCCAAAAGTATAATATTTACTAACCACATAATCACTGTCACTAATAACGTTTTACTATTTTTTTTATAAAATTTTACTTTGTTTCTGATGTTACCATGGTTCTGTTTCGGGTGTTACAAGTACAAAAATTAAACATTTTAAATGGACAAAATCGGCGTTTTATTAGTCTTTAGGTCCTACAAAATAAGTTAGTAACAAATAAACATAAATAGAATGAATTCTCCTTAAACATAACTAAGCAGCTTCGGGTACGATTGAGAAATCGACAAAAAGGGTAAAATTGTTATTATTACCAAAAATCGGTAAAAAAATCGGTAGACACATAATTATTGACGAAAATCTAAGTATTCGGTATTTTGGTAGGTCCGTTCCCATTTAAGTAGAAATACCGAAATTTCGGTAGATTCGACAATACCATCGGAAAAGAGGTGTTATTGCTTTTCCGATGGCGGCGCTAGTGGGCCGTCGAAAGAGCCTATTTTTATAAAAATAATATCTATAAGTATACTTATTGCATTCTTCAAGCAATACACACACATATATCGACATATGAAGAAAGTTGTAACACCCGAAACGTTCGGGTGTTACAGTTTTTAATCAAGATAAACACATCAAATTAATCTCATGCTCAGATATTAGTTGGTATTTTAAATCATTATCGTTAATTTTACTAAATATTATTACACTAATCAATCTGTAAGGTATATTAATAAAACAATTGCTCGTTTCGGGTGTTACAGTGTCAAAGTAAAAAGAAAACACACTTATAACGTAATAATTATCAATTTTTTCTGGACGCAATCCACCAATACTACGATAAATAATCTCAAATCACAACGTGGCAAAACGGTTGACAGATTGACAGTTTTTTTCGTATTTCCATTATAGAGGCACAATGGTCATTCAGCCAGTTCACTTGAGTACAGATTTTGAAGACTAATTAACTTTTAAATTACGCGTTTCTTCTACACCTTTTCCAGTTGATATTCAGAAAGTAGGAATTGTAATTCAGTTATTCCAGTTGATATTCAGATAGTAGGAATTGTAATTCAGCTATTCCAATTGATTTTAAGAGAGTAGAATATGTAATTCAGATAACACAATTGATTTTAAGAAAGTAGCAATTGTAATTCAGATAACACAGTTGATTTTCAGAAACTTGCAATTGTAATTCAGAAAGTAGCAATTGTTTTTCAGATTAAATCAAATGTAATTTAGCCGCAGCAATTGTTTCAGGAAAAGTTGGTTGCATACAGTAAATCGATGATGAATGAAAGTACACGTTATCTTTATTAACTAAGTAAATGAAATTTATATAAAGTACAAATAAACAAAATTCGGTCCTTACTTGCAATAAGTTGACAATTATGACAAATATACCTACTTAAATGGTGATAAATTTGTTTATTATTGTCAATTCCATGGAAACAAAGCAATATACAAAGAAATACATTAAATTGAGATTTTAGAAAATAAGTAAAATGAAGTATGAAAATTTTATCATTTGTTAATTTCTGAATTTCAATTGACATATTCTGAATTACAATTGTTACTGTCTGAATACTATTTGTAATTTTTGAATATCAATTGCTACTGTATGAATATCATTTGCAATATCTGAATTACATCAGCTACTTTCTGAATATCATTTGATATATCTGAATTACATTTGCTATTTTCTGAATTTCATTTGCAATATCTGAAAATCAATTGCTGCTTTCTGAATATCAATTGCTACTTTCTTAATATCAACTGGAAAAGGTGTAGTTGTTTTTGTCCTAAATTATAATTTGGAATGTTTTCTTTTAAAATTTATCAGATTTAATGCGAAAAGAACATATTTATTTTTTCACCCTTAGTATCGTTTGTCATGGAATCACCCTGAAGTAAATAAGCTAACTACTGTTTAAGTTGTTAAGAAAATTTAGTTTAATTATTACTATCTGTATATTTTTATTACTTTTATTAGGTATGTATAATATGCATTGTAAATTAATTAATAAATGTTTTTATTATATGTTTTTTTAATACTTACTATTTTACAATGCAATACAATTAATTAACACCTCAAATGGAAAATCAAGTTATGGAACTTTTGGAAGAAAAATAAATTTGTATAGCCTGTAAAGCTCAAACTTACCAGCAAAGAGCGTAAACTATTTACCTGTTTATATATCAGGCGAGTTCGGGTCTATTTCTTGCTGCTTGAAGCAAAAGAATTGGAGCTTGAGCTTGCTCTATTTGGTGGTTTTACATCACATGACTGAATATGTGGTGGGTGGCAGTTTGTGTTGCAGTGTGTGTAGAGCGGGTGTTTTTGTTTTGATTCAGATGAAATTATTTAAAATGTTGTCTGATATTTTATACACAGAACGCTTTGATATAGTCAATAACAATGCTATAATTTGTTGATTGTTTCGACCTTTACTTGATGAAACTCCATATTATTAATATATGAATGAAAACAACACTGTTTTAAAGTTTCACTAATTTATTTATGTTTTTAATAATTAACAATTGTTTCGCTACACTGTAGCTTCTTCAGAATTAGTACTTATTTTAACAAGTGGCGGTATTTATATTAACAACAGGCAGGTAATTTGAGAAGATAAATGTTATATAAACATTATACCTGAAGGTAAAATTTATATAATTACATAATTTTGGAAAAACTGAGGGTTTGGGAAATCCTATCTAATATAATATTATAATATTAATAAATATTATATATTGTTCTTAATGACCAAATTGAAACTAACAGCTCTCCTTTGCTAAATTTATTTTAGAGTGTGTACTTGTAGTACTAAAAAGTAATATTTATTAATATTATAATATTATATTAGATAGGATTTCCCAAACCCTCAGTTTTTCCAAAATTATGTAATTATATAAATTTTACCTTCAGGTATAATGTTTATATAACATTTATCTTCTCAAATTACCTGCCTGTTGTTAATATAAATACCGCCACTTGTTAAAATAAGTACTAATTCTGAAGAAGCTACAGTGTAGCGAAACAATTGTTAATTATTAAAAACATAAATAAATTAGTGAAACTTTAAAACAGTGTTGTTTTCATTCATATATTAATGCTATAATTGATTGTTTTTTCATTTCTCCAATAAAAGTTAAAGTTTATTCAATTAAATATGTTTGGAGCAATTGAGGGTAAGGAATTGATGTTATTACAAATATTATATTCAGCACATAAGGAAATATTATCAAGTTAAAATTACTTGTTATAGAGTGAATTGCTCTTTAAATTTAAACCTAATGGACATGTTTACTTCCTTGAAAATTTTAGAAATGATTGCATTTAAAGTTTATCTGATCAAGGTAAAATTAACAATATTTAATTAAATATAACATTGATTTATATTAAAAGTTATAATGCTTCAACCAAAAATTAAAAACAAATGAAATAAGAATAGTCTTTGTTTATTTTAATGTTTATGACTTTTATTCCAATGGAAACTAAGGTAAAGTAAGTTATTACTGTCTTACAGTAAATACCAATGTTTTCACTGTCTTGAAAAATACTTGTTATTTGCCCAATTATCATTTCCATTTTTTCAATGCGGCCTATATTCAATTTAATGATTGCTAAAATTAATCGGTATTTCTGTTTACGCCGATTGATGTAAGTGTATGAGTTATCTCTGGTGAAAGTAGTGTTCGGTTATTTGTTATATTTGCTAATTTCATGGGGGTTGTACTTCCTAATCTCGAGTTTTCAAGGTAAGTTGTACATGTTTTAAATTGTATGTCCGCCATGCATTATCCAGTAATTTAATTACTCAATTAAAATAGCTATTTTGCTTAAATGGACGAAGTTTTTATTTATGTATAAAAAAACTTCTCCTAGTCTGTTAGTACCATCATGATATCCTTGATCCTGCACATCCAGTACAGTAACTGTTGCTACTGATGGGTCAGCAACTTTCTTAGAGCCTAATATCACCAACACTTCTAGTGGGTTCCTAATAGTTCCTACAGAAAACAGAACAATTTCATTTTATGGATCGAAAAACCTGTGTACACAAGACTACCAGAAGCAGTTTCCAATATTTGTACATGAATATACATATTTAAAAGAAATAGAGCTTTGATTGCATTTAATGTAGCCATTCATTAGAAACCATAACATATTTATGCCAATGATAGTTTTTCATTAAGATTCATTGTGGCTTCAATTAAATAACAATTAAATTCAATAATTTCTTATGTTTTACCCAACTAAGTTTTAATACGGATTTAATAGAATAACAATTTAATTCAAATTCTTATGTTTGAACTAATTTTAAGCAGGTTTGCGCAATCATTCATTTGATCATAGCTGTAATTCAGGTATTGCAAATACAGTATACCATTGGCTCAATGGTTAACCCATTCACAATATAAAAGCTTTTTCTCTGTGTAGTTCTTGTCTCGATTAGTAAGTTTTCTTTAATTTATATTTATATTTTTTTAATGAATCCTGTTCATGACGTTATTCTCTCAATAATTGAAACGCATTTTTTCAGAAGAAACAAAAATATTTATGAAAAAGCAACACTTTTATTAATAAAAACAATAATAAAAAAGTAAAAAACAATATGCTATAGGTACAACTAAATAACTAACTAAATGTATGTTCTATAATAAAACAATTTCAGACCACAAATAGGTACACAATAATCCTATAGGATAGGTACACAATAATACTATAGTATTTATAATAGTTAGCTAGTCTAATGAAACAAATTTTGTATCTACAAATTTTATATAGAACAGATTTTAAAATATTCCCAAAATAATTATAATGTTTAATGAAAAAAAAATGCTTAAATTAGTGGTAAAACAGGAAAAGTATTGTCCATATACTATATATATGGCCGTATTTCAAAAATTAAAATTATCCAACTGATAAAGTTTATATATGAACAAAAAATTACAAGATATATACTTATAGGTACCATAATAGGGTTCAACATAGTAAAAACATACTATAATAAAGAAAAATCAACTTAAAAGTAAAAATGAGATAATCTGGCTAGCTAGTTCTTAGGAAATACCTTCTACAGCATATAAATATTGCACAATTGTTTGGTTTACGTTTTTTTGACTAAATATAAATACTAAAATACTATTAATAAATACTTAAAAATTAAACAACAAAAATACTTAACATATCTAGTACCTCATCCTTAAACCGTATCTCAAATTAGAATTGACAGGCTGTCTGTACAACCTGGTGAATTGCGACTTATGACTCTCCTCCCTCACAATTTCCTTAGGAATCAGAACTTGCACCGGCACATGGGAACTTCTTTGAGGCACAACATCGTACTTTGGAGTCCTCGAACCATACTTATGATAGACCGTGTTTTTCTGCGAGGTGGCAAAGTTTCTTAAACCTGGAGTGGTTTTTACGGGTTTCTTGTAGCTTTGTAGCACGTTGGGCTGGGTGATTTGATTGTCAGGTTTCGATTTGATAGGTTGGAAGCCTGTCTCGTAAAAGGGTTCGCTGATTTTGTTTCTCCCCGAGCTGTAGTACTCTGTTAGAAACTTGCTGAGTTCTTCTTGGGACAGTTCGTGGGATGGTACAACGGTGGTATCTTTGATCGAGTAGTTTATTTTTTTTGAGTCCTGAGGTTCGTATGGGGCATGAGTCAAGTCGATTTCCAGAGGTTTAACGTATGATACGTCGATTGGTACGACTTTTTCCTTTGAGTTGGCGTTGTAAAGGCTTAACATTGGTAGGACTGATGCAAGGCTCTCTTTGTTTTCGTCAATTGCCTCGTGTATTTTTTGATGGGGGTATTTTGCGTGGGTTTTTACTGTAGATCTTTGTGATTCCTCCACATATTCTTCTTGTGGTACGTAGATGTAGGTTTGTTTGTTATTTGAAACCTCATTCTCTTCATCTTTTTGGTTGTTTTCGTTATCGTACTCTTGTTCGTCAGTATTTTCCTCTACATTTTCAGCGTTTGCTGTTTTGGTGTAAACATACTCGTAATTCTCTTTCTGATTGTAATATTTCTGATTATCATTTTCTTGTTGTTCTCTTACATACTCAGGCGTTTCTTCTTCCACCTCCTCCTCAACCTTAACCTCGTTGTCAATTGTTTTCGGCTTCATGTACAACTCACTGTGGCTCGTTGGTGTTTTTGGCATTGGATGATATCCTGGTGCGGAATGTTTCACAACTGCGTTGAACCCGTTTTTATCGTCAGCCGTGTATTCCACCGTACGTACGGAACCATCTGCTTCCACCATGGAATAATGACCCCTAACTGTGGAGCCATCTTTCTTCTCCCATTGGTGTTTGATGTCGCCTGTATGCATGTCTTTTACGCCGTAGCTAAAGCTGTAGTCGGTCGGTTTCTGCAACAAGAATATTGTTTGTTTATAACAATAGATAAAAAATAAATATTAGAATGATTTTAAAACACAAAATCCTTATATTGCGAAAGTTGAAACCGAGAAAGTCTCGCTTGACCCAGCAGCAATTTTTTATTAGTGCCAAAACATCTGTTAAACACAAAATTAATCAATCGAAGTAAGGCTGGTTCACTCTTATTATTAAGTGTCTTATCCACTTATATGGACTTTATTGTCTATCGCGCGACAGGTACATCATTACATTCATCTAGTGAAAGCATTGACAGGTGACGAGGTAAAAACAAAACATAATTGGTAGGTGAAATATCGAAAGTTTTTCTAAAGTAAATAAATGGTTAAATTTTGATACCAAATATATGTTTTTATATCATGTTCAATATTTAAAATATATAAGAATTTTAGTTATTTTAATTTTTAAAGTATGAATTGTTAAGAAAATGTTGGTTCAAACATTTCCGTACCCCAAAGCCAAACTGTATTATGTACATTTTTTAAAATCACAGTACAAATTTTTGCCTACATTTTTTGCTCTTTTTAATGGTAAACAGGATTAAGTCTTAGCTTACTTATTTTCTAGATGTATTAAAAACCAAGTAAGCGAGTAAGAATATCTAACGTAATTTTTGCACTATTAATCTAATTCAAATTAACATAATACAAATAATAAGGTTGTAATTATGAAGATTATATTTATATGTTTTGATTTAAATTGTATTAATTAAGGTATTAAAAATCGTATACTTACGTATTCATCATGTGCTGGTGCATAATTTCGAAGTCCTTTTACTTCTATTACAAAGAGTCCAAAGAAAACAAGCAGTTTCTGAAACAAAAAACATTTAAATACAATATAAGTCCATTCACACCGGAACAAATTAAACACAGTTTACAAATTTTCATCTTCGCTTTCATAAAGATCCTTCCGAGAGATAAAAAATATATTTTTTTTCTTACATAACATAAAAATGTACACGGTAATGATAAGTTTAATTGGTGGTTTAATTTTACAAAAATCAGCTAACGATGTAAATATTTTATCATTATAATTGATTATTAAATTTAGTCACCGAGTGAAATTTCATAAAAAGTAAAAGTAATCTGAAGCAATTGGTATTGAAAATAAAAGTCAAGTTTGTTTACCTACATTATGATTACGGTCGTAGAGCAGGAAATAAGTAACTTATTATAAGTTCAAAGTCGACATGATCATGATATACATTTAACTGTGTTTCTGGATAACTACACGTTTTCTGATAATTATACAATAACAAGAATTATGAATTCGTTAAGTTCATAGGAAACAATACTAAATTAATTAATAACTACAGTTCACTACTCATTTTAAAAACAATAACGTGTAAGTATTAAAAATAATGACGTATATTTTAAAAGAATATTCCTGGTGCTCTTTAACAAGAGAAAAAAAATTAAAATCTAAAAAAATGTAGGTATATAGGAAACACAGTAGGCCCACGATGGGGCCAAGCTTAAAACTTTCAAAGTTAGTCAAGATTTTTTGAATAAAAAAAATCAAAGTACCCACACATCCATTAAATACGTGAAAAAAAATATTACAACTTCACCAAAATCTCAAATGGAAACCCACTTGATTGGTAACTTTGGCGTGGAATGCACTATATACAGGGTGTATTAAAAAATATGCGCCAATGCTCGGTTGGATATTTGTCATCCAAAAATAAGAAAAAAGTTTATATAAATGTGTTTTTGGAAATAATTAGTTTTTAAGATATATTAACTACGGTCGATTTGCAAGGGTTCAAGAAATCGATTGAAACGTTTTTACCTTATTTCTACATCTAAATGCAGTACTTTTTCCAGAAAATAATCTCGTCCAATGACAACTTTGTTTTTATTTCTTTTTTCTTCTTCACTACAGGTATTAAAAATGAAGGAAATTAATTTTTTTCAATAACTATTTTGTTTTAAAACGTATCGATTTGAAATTTGGACAAAATGTAGATTAATAATGACAATTAATCCATAAAAAATTTTTATTTTGTTTAGATTTTAACGTACAGGGGGCGCTGGATATAATTTAATTTAAAATTTAACAATTTTTAAAGGGTAAACAATCGAAGAAGCAACTTTGTTTTATAAATTTGAGTATAACACCTTGAAATATTGATATTTGACTATTATTTGGTATATTAACTTTTTTATGCAAATGATGTTTCTTTGGCCAGGATAAGTTTTGAATAAGCAATAGCAGTATTCATAAATGTTTAGCTTAGTACATTTTGTCATTTTTATACAAATATTAATATATCTTTTATTTAGTATAGCATAACACATAAATGATTTTTAATTTCACGTACGTAGTCCGTTATAAGTTTTTAGGGAATCGCGAAAGACATCGATTTAAAATTTTAATAGCGTAAATTATTCGATTTAGACTTTTTTGCTAAATTATTTTGAACAAAATAATACTTCCTGTTTTACAGGAAATGTCTTTAACTTTAATATTTTAAACGGGACACCTCATATATTTTTACATTTTTGAATTCTTTATAAAATTCTGAGTAAAATGCCTATATCCTATACCTAAAGTCAATATTTTTCGAGTTATTCATTTTTCAATCAAAAATTTCAATTTATTTTAAACAATGTAATTGGAACGATATATGGGCCAGTTATTTTTTAACATTTGGTACTTTAATTATGTAAACTTAACCAAAATATTATATTAAATTTTAAATATTTATTTTAAAAATGTTATTACAAAATATCGAAATTTATCTATTTTTAACACAGCGGTCAATGGATGAAATTTTTTTGTTGAAAAAAATGCACCATTTAGATGTAGAAACAAGGTTAAAAAAATATATTCAATTCTGGCATCACTTGCAAACAAATGTCCAAAATTTGTTCGATTTTTAGGCGAAAACATAGTTAAACATTAAAAAACGGCTTTTTAAAATATCCTAAATATGGTTTGCCCGATAGTGTTGAAATTTGGCAACGTTATTTATACGTTTTGTCAATTTTCTTTAAAACGAAAAAGGTAGCTTTTGTTAAATTGGAAAAAAGTGCAAAATATGCCTTTTGTCAATTTTCATGCAATAATATGGTATTTATTTTTATGTCGAAAACGAGGTAAGATACGAAAACAACTTAAGAAATAAAAAAGTAGCGGTTACTTTTTTTCATTAAATCCGAATTAAAATACTGAAAATTATAATTCTTGTAACACTTTCCTTAACCTTTTAATTTTTCTTTACCGTAACGAATTGTAAATGGATGTGAAGTGTTTTCTGAGAAAACACATTAATTTGTTGAAAACCCACATATTTTTAATGTAAGAAGAAAGTAATTCTTCTATAGGTGTATTTAAATATTTACAACATGTCTGGAATATAATAATGCAAAATGTAAATGAAAACGCAATTTTAGCAAACAAATTACGAACCAACATGATTGACAAATTTTGTTAAAAAAGGGACATTTTGTATAAATTAATCTTTTTTCTGACATAATAATGAAAATTTGACGTTTTTAAATTATTATAATAATAATTATTATTATTGTTTAAGGTACCCACCTGGTGAATCCTCATTATCAAGTTCAAGCTTCACTAAAAACACACACACAACTGAAAACTTTCACGAACTGTTCGGGGAGCAATCTTAACATTCATTTATAACATTTTTCGATTTCTTCCCTTCCACGCAAGAAATAACCATCGCTATTTTCTTCTTTTCTTTCTTTACTGCAGGATCTTCAGTTTTTTTCTATTCCAATTAAGGAAAACATATCTTGGCATTCCAGAACAATGTTTGGTATTTCTTTGATAGGTAGTACCTAATGATTTAATTTAATAAAAACTTGCTATAAAACAAATTGCTTTTAGTTATACCCATTTATAAAAGTAAATATGTTTTATGATGGATTATACATTTTTTATTACAGTTTTGGGTTTTGGTATTCATTTAAAAAAGTCAAATATACATTTTAATTTTTTAACGTAAAATTCCAATTTATTAAACATAACACATATAATAACACATATATAAAAGAAAATATTCGTTCTTTTTGCCAAAAAATTGTACCAATTAGTTTGGAAGTAATTGGGTAAAATGAATAGAAATCTTTAGCACAAATTATATTTTAACTTTTTCCTTTATCTATTTCTAGAGATCGACTTGCAATAAAATTAATTTCTATTAGGTTTGTCACATATTTGGCCTGATAATGGCCGAAGAGAAAATTGCAAAATTCCCATTTCTATTTTCTAACTTTATTTAAAGAGGTTACATGAGACATATATCACATAATTTTGCAAAAACAGAAAATATCTAATACAGCGACTAATTACTCTATGCATGGAGCAATGAAAATAAAATTTACTTTTTAAATAAAACGATGATACCGGTTTATTGCTTTCTATAAATTATGGAAAATATACATTGAAGTAAAATAAAAATATTTGTATAAGTAGGCATTCCATTTTTTAAGGTTGTCCAATATATTAATTAAAAAACTAAATGAAACTGCATATTCATATAAATTCCTATTAAAACGACATATCTTTGCATTTGAAAAAAAAAAGTTTGCTTGAACTTTTGAGGGGTGATTTTTTTTATAAAAGTACAACGTAATTTACCCATAAAAGGTTTCCACCATGTAAACTATTTCCCAAAGATGATTATGTTAATAATACATTAAACAAATTATAAATCATAATAACAAACTAATTTCTTCAATATAATAATATTATACCTACATATATTATAAGTAGTTGTCTATTGCAAAATATTGTATAGTGAAGAAAGTAATAAGAGCATCACATATGTTTTGTATTCATTTCATAATAAGTTAAGTAATATGACGTTTATGGAATATTTAAGAGTGTTCCTGAATTTGTTTACCAGCTGTGATTATTTTTAAAATTTTGGAAAGAAAAGTTTTTGGATGTGATCAATATGATTGATTGTGCAAGACATAAATAACTAATTAATAATTTTAATTAGAACTTAAAAATAAAATTAAGATATCTATATAAGCCTATAGGCTTGTCAACTTTCATTAGATTTATATAAATTTGTGAAACTGAAACTGAGTTAAATAATTTGAGATTTTCATTTATTATATATCAAAATATATTAAAAATGTCTCATTTCGACATCCAAATCCAATTTTCCAAATTGTTTGCACATTGTAAATATCAAAACAATTAAAGTATTTTTGAAATTAAAAAAAAGTTGTTTTTCAGATACAGGTAAAGTTTATTCCAGTTTTAAACTGTGTTTTAACGTTATATTACAAATTTTTATATAGAGAAAAAGATGGTAATAGGCAACCTATAAACACAGTAAAAAATATATTCCCTTATAAACTACAGTTATTATGTTAGAAAGTTTTCTGTATTTCTTTATAACACATCTTAAAGCACACTGCTATAACGGAATAAATACTTTTAATAACTTGTAGTAGATGGCTCCATCATCGGTATTTTACACATACTTTTACACTTTTTATTATGGGCATTTTTATGACAAACAAATTAGAGGCTAGTTTTGATTAACGTGCATTTTAACGATAAAATTAATATCTTGAAAACTATTGACTTTATGTATAGTCTCAATCAAATTTTATATGCTATTAAAATTTTAAATCCATATCGTTTGCGTTTCTGTAGAAACACCTTGTATAGAATTATATTAAATATAAAAAAAATTAAAAATAATTAAATACAAAAATTGAAAAACAACTGAATAAAAAATATGGATATATCTAAATAGCCGATTGCAACATAAAAAGTCTTTATTCTAATTTATTTGTTGGGTAAATATTACTTTCCTCAGCAAAAAATAAAATTAAAGTAGGTTATAATTTATAACTTGCTGACACTGTCTATAATAATTATTATTATTTAGTTTATCCATTTTAATAAATTAATATTTTAAGTTTATAGTACACTTATAAATTAAAACGCAATCAGTCATTTGCAACTTATAAACTGAACTGTTAAATTATCATCATGCTTCCAATGGTAGGTTACCATAGAGAAAAGTCTGTGATGCCTACTATGATCAAAATTAGTAAACTTAAAAAAATTAAAATTTATAAATAAAACTAATTTTAGCTCCATTTATGGCGATTTTTAAATAAATATGTAAGAATTGTTTGGTATATATAAAATATTGT